TGCCAGTTTATCGATGCAAATAGTTTTAATTAAGAAAATGAAGGAGGTTTGATTTCATATCTTCATTGGTCTACATTGCGCAATCCTTTTTCGTTTTACATTCTATACGTAGATTTGATTAATAATAACCTAGTCACTAGGTCGCTTAAGTTGATTTAATGACTTAGGGTTGAGTTCTTCCAACTGTGATAAATAGGCATTGTGACCCAAAATATTATCTTGGCCAGTGTGTAATGCAGTCTCATCAGCACACCTAGCGGTATTTGATACCGGGTTGTGAGCATCATGTCAACGTTTGATCCCCTAATACACTACTTCGGGAGCTACAGAGCAGATGTGACATTGATGGCAAGCTAGGCCATTCCCAACTCGAATCTTACTGTGAAATTGTCGATTGAGCAAAGATTGTCTGTTATTACAATCGTCTATGCTTCTTATTTAAGAATGAATGATGTGTCTAACCCCATATATGTCGAAAATAGATTAAAGTAGCTTTGCAATGCATTATTTTTCTCTTTGAAATAATGCTTCACATACGTGCGAAAATACTTTTTGTGTAATGCAGCTGTATTATCTAATATTAACAGATCGTCTACCAATATTGCTATACCTAGGGCCTTATGGGCTAAATTATTTTTTGGATAAGCGAATTTTTTTATGCAAGTAGTGGTCTGCGCTTATTTTTCAGCTAAAATTTATTTGCACATTTCGCCTTTTCTTAGATGGTCAGATGGTCTCCCTAAGGAATTTGTGAACGGTGCGTCCGTACTTTCTCGTGTGGCAATGATGGCAATGATAAGGAAGAAGGTTTCCGAGTTTGAGGATTTCAACGGCCTTGTCAGCTATGTAGCAGAGGTATATGATCTATTCTTATTTGCTGAATTTTAATTCGCCTTTTCATTTTCATTTATTTTTCCATTTTGTATTTATAATTGAGTGCAGGCCTCCCCAGCTCAATGGAGGCTTGTTTTCTGCGTCCTCACCACTTCCTGAATTTTTATCCTAAGGTCTTAAGCACATGACGGGGATTTTTAGTGGCAATTTTAGGGTTGCTTCGATTAGCTATATAATTGTTTACATATTTTATCGTCATTTAACATTTATAAGAGTTGTTTTCGTTTTGCTTTTCAATAAATTATATTTTAGGTTCCTTTTATATTGATAGAGATAAGAAGGGTCCTCATGAAAGTTTTGCTAACTTTAAACGATTTAAGCTTTTGTTTTCGATTTGCCTGCTTGTCTTATTTTAGATTTTGACTCTTTACTACTAGAAGAAAAAATCATTATTGTTTAACTAGATTTATTTCATATAACTCTAACAAAAAAATTTAGCTCCTATGATTTGCTATGCCCTAGTCTCTTGTGTGCCAACCCACAAACGTTGTT